CGTGCAACAAGTACAGCTAGCCCAATGGCATATCTATTGTCTGTGCTGACTGCTTAGTGCTGGCTAGTGATTTCTTAAAAAACAATTTAATTGTGTGGAATTGTAAAACTATGTGATTGCATAAACCTAGAAAAACAAGTCATTGTTCTTGTCCTCAGCATTTGAGGCATTAAAAGGGCAAGAAGGAAGCTGGCTTGCAATTTACTGCATTGTGTGACTATCCGTGGAGGAAGAAGTATCTGCAGAACACACAGTAAAGCACTCAAGGTGGCCGAGCTGGCCGGCACAGGTGCGTTGATGGTGTTGCCTGTTGCTCACTGGAAGTTTGAATTAGTTGTACAACTCTAAAATTTCGTAGAATGATTTCTCATTGACCTTGCCCCCGTAAGATTTCCTTCAAGCTCGGCCACTGCTAACTTCCTTTACAGATCAATAATATATAGAAAACTAGTTTGATAATTTGATTGGTCTCATGAAATAGCACCATTCAGTGTTGGTGTGTCACGAGAATTACCCAACTCTCTCTCTCTCTCCCTCTCCCTCACCCTCACCTCTCTCCTCCTCCCCCCCCCTCTGTCTCCCCTCCCCCCCCCCCCCCCCCCCCCCCCCCCCCTCTGTCTTCCCCTCTCAAGTCTGTTTCTCTCCAGCCAAGAATCCTTGGTCTCCATTTTGTGCACAACTCCTAGGGCGTGGGATTTTAATCCCAAACTGAGGACTGAACCGAGCCGAACTATCGTCTATCAGCTTCAATTCTGTTTTTTGGTAACTCCAGTGATTTGTGTTGGTATTGGTATTGGTTTCCAACCACGACATTGAACACCTGTACAAAACTGAGTTACCAGTCACTGCAGGTCAGCATCTCACCCACGTTTGCAAGCATTCCAATCTACAATTCAGCCTAGGCTTGCCCTCCCCACCGCCACGAGTCTAGAAATTTCTGTCATTCTATGATTTCCTTCTGTAGGATGGAATTCCACAAATCCTTCCTGATTTACCTCTTGCTTATTCCTAGTAAGTCCTCTACCCCAAGCTCTTTAAACATGCAATAGATTAAATTCTGTCACAAACAATGTAAAGCTTTCTGAAAGGTATTAAAGTGAGCCAGGAAAGGCTATTTTGATTTCCCAAAAGATTAGATCTGAGTGACACAAATTTTCTAAAAAATTTTGAAGAGCTCCCCGCTCTTGTGTGTAAGCCTTGCTACCTGCGCAATGCAATGGTGAGAGAAAACTCTACCGCTTGCACCAGCCCGCCCGCCAGTGACACAATCCACTGGGATTTGAACCCAGCTTGCCAGGTTGAATGTCTGGAGTGATAACCACGCACCCTTTCTCAATTCTTGGTGAGAAAAAAAAACTATTTTCCATAATTTTTATGATGTACCTTGCTGCTTTGTTGAACGGTTTTAGGAAGAGCAGGTATTTTATTTGGATAGTAAAGAAGGAATGGATTTGAAGGAAGAAGCAATGTCCCTCTAATTTAATAAATTTCTTTTGTTAAATATTTCCTTTCCATGTCTGTATTGAGCTTGTGGTTGTAGTAGATGGTCTGTTAAGTAGCATGTCATTTTCTTGTCTTGGTGTGAACTGGGATGGTGTTGCATCCGACTGTTATCACATTTTGTAATATAGAGTTTGAAGCATAGTTATTGCAGTGCTACTTGATTTTCCTATTTTTAGTTCCATATTTCCATTACAGATTTTGAATGCTTCATGATTATGGGACTGCTGATGCCTCTTACTTTGCGTATTAGATACCATGTTAACAAACTCTTTAAAAAATACAGTATAATGGCTTGAATGAGAATTATTGGTTGTACCCTCCATTCAGAAATACATGATGTGTTGAACTTGCTTTAGTTCTATCAGTAATACATTGAAAACTATTTGAATAATCACATGGAGATAGTACCATTTGATAGTCTGAGAATTGCTGTCTTAATATAATATTTTCTATACTTTTAACTAATGTACTGCTATAGAAATTGATGATCATAATTGCTTATCAAAGACTGTATGTTGTCCACGAGCTAAATATTTGTGAACAAATTTGATTAATAAAAGGAATGTTGACTTTTTATTTTTTTAATATTGTTCATTTGAAGTCTGGTAGCATTTTGTCAGACTGCAGAATTTACTCGTACTCTACATTTCCTCAGTTATCCTTACTAAAAATTTTTGTTTGAATTTTGTCCTGATTTTGCACAGAAATAATGGTTTTAGTCTGGTCGTTCATTACAAAAATCTAAGATAGAAAATGGGCTAGCTTTTCCCAAGTTTCTGTCAAGACTACTCTTTTACTGTCCCGAAAATTATCTGTCAGTCTTGCTGTGGGAACTGAACATTTACAGTCTAATGTCTTAGCAAATTATCAGTAATGTACCATTTGGAAGGTGGTGGATGGTGTTGTCTTAGATGGCTTGATGGTGCTCTTGATTAGAAATACAGTATCATATTATGCAACCTGCCAGACCAACAAATCTTGTACCAACTATTGGTTCCCTTTTGATGTGGCTTACATGCACTTTTATTGTAGTGGTTTTGGTGGGTGCTCCAGCTAATTTATTGTTTTTTCCCCATGAAGGTATTGAGCTGAGTCAAATGAGAGTGTTACTGCTGTGGAGAGACGTGCTACTCAACTCCTGTGCAACTGATTGGGGATCCATGACCTACTGAAGGCACAAAGATTGTGCAAGCAAAACAGTTCCAGTTCATCCTATGAACATACTACGTTTTTTTTTCCAGATTGGAGAACGCCCAGGGGCTTGGCAAACTGTGGTCTGTGGCTTTGAACTTTGCCAATTCGATACCTGATAGATCATTTTGAGACGAGTTAAGCCCCTGTTTGGAGTGCCAGAAACCAAAACAGATGTAGAAGGAACGAGGTGTAAGAGGAGAGAAGACCCAGCGCCTGATCATCGTTTATTCGTTTCTGAATCTATAGCCACTGGAATCAGTCTGCAACCAAATTGTAGCCCTATTATCTGGAACTGTAATGAACAACAGTTAGCATATAATTGAGAGATGCTGAATGGATTGTAGAAAAGGATCTGCATCAAATCCCAGTAATTTCCGCTAATTCACTCTGTTGTGTTAGCTATCTTTATGTGATGTTGTGACATGTTAATATTGCTCTCATTGAGGGCAATGGTCTGTTCGCTGGTTAGCTTGTGGGCTGATAAGCCCGGCTTTAATCTTTTGTTTGTTGTGAGGAAAAATATTGGTTGATCATTGAGGGCAATATGTCTGAATATGCTGAACTGTTGGCTCAGCAAGCGGCAAAAAAACGTCTACAGTGCATCTCCAGCATTTCGATAAAACCACTTACAATCTCCTTTAACAACTATTTTAATTCCTAATCTATCCGCGCTCGTAAAAAATGGTGGTCTATCCGCGCTCGTAAGAATGGTGGTACCCATGCTCAAAGAAACACGGACGACCGCGACTCCCTCACTGTCTCCATAGGCTGATTAATAATCGGACCAATCTTAAATGGGCTATGCCTTAATGGGCCGGTGCTGGGCTCGGTCAGAAAGAAAGAAAAAGGAAAGGAAACCACGTTATCCTCTTTTCATAGACGGATACGGGACATACGGCCGGCTCAACACGCCTGAGGGCTGAGGGCTGAGCCTAACCGGCCTCCAGCCCGCTCCCGCTCCCGCTCCCGCTCGGCTCGTCGACGACGGGCAACCGCCGCCGCCGTCCTAGGTCAGGCCGTCAGGTGCCCAGGTATCCGTCGGGCCCTTCTCCAGTCCCTTCCCCGTCGACAGCAACCACCAGGTATGCCAGCCTCTTCTCTTCCCTGCGGAACCGAGAACCCTAACTTAAGCTATTTGGCTATTTGTATTCGTAATATATCTGATCGAGTTACAAGTGTATACTTCTATTATGCCTAACTTCGTTTTGTTTGGCGATAGGTATCGGCTGAATCTGTAGGAAGGAACTGATATACAATAACTTCGTTTTGTTTGGCAATAGGTATCGGCTGAATCCGTAGGAAGGAACTGATATACAATAATTTCTTGTTTTATATGCAAACTAATTGACAGGGAATTGCTTGGTTTAGCACAACACAACGGTACATAGAAAATGTGACGTGGGTTTGATGGTGTTGTGGTTGAATTGCACATCGATGATTGGATTTGCCAACATTTTTGGTAGGCTGTAGCATAGCAGTGGACTACACAACGTGATCGAATAAAAAAAGAGTTACTTCCTGAAACAAAATACCCTGCACCAGCACTAATGTTGATTGATTTTGATAATATTATGAGAGATTAACTGTGTTGTCAAAGATCTTGTAGGCTTTATTTCTTCTTGCCTATTGTAGTAGCTACCCCAAATTCCGGTTCCAGTCCATCTTATGTTGTCCAGCACACCAGATAGTTTAATAACAAGAGCTTAAGGATTTCCTTTTAGGCAGATATGCTGACAAATCTGTTTGGTTCAGTGGGCAGCATTGCTAAATAACTTACAGTCTAACGGAAAGTGTACATTATGATGACTTGAATACTTTGTGCTTGGCATTACTGCATGATGACTTGTATTATCAGAATCGTAGCTAATACGCTCAGAGATTGAACATTCTTGGGTAGTTTCAACCCAGTGTCATGATAATCAGAAGGGATGTGCTTCTGCAAGTTATGGAATTCTTTTTGTATAAACCATGCCATTAACTGCAAACGATGCTTAGATAGTTGAACAATAGGTTTTGTAATTTTGTCATTCTCAATTATATATTAGCAGTTACATTTCTACATTTGTGTTTAGTTTGCAGTCTGTATGAAACTTTTTTGCTTTATATGTGTTATATACATGTGCTATTCTGATCTCTTATTGTTTCTGTTAACACTGCAGGTATCAAATCAAACTTCTGCGCACTTATGGAGGCTTTAATTTCATGTTTAAGAAACATGGTAAGTTTACTTTATATATTATTATTATAGGGTTGTTGCATGTATGCAAATTTAAGTACTACTGATATTATGTGGCTTGGAGGAGATGGAAACCAGTCAGATGCCCAAGTCAGGGATTCATCAGAAGCTGGGACCGGAGATCAGTCAAAATCCCATGGAAAATCATGTTGACCCAGAAAAGGAAACTGATGAAACTCCAGTAGCTGAGGTTAACCAAGAGCCTGTGGAAACATGTCAGGGCGTAGTGGTGGAAACTGATATTATCCCAGAAAAGCAAGCTGTTCCAGAGGCAGGCTTAGAGGTTAATGAAGAACCTACGGAAACATGCCAGGAAACAGCTGCAGAATCTGATGTGAACCCAGAGAAGCGAACTTCTGATCCAGGTGTTATTTACCGCTGCAGAAAATGCCGGAGAATGCTTGCAACACAAGAATTTGTTGTTACCCATGAAGTAGGTGCGGGTGGCAAGAGCTTCAGAGCAGGAAAACAGTCTAATGTGCATGAGGATGGCGAAAAAACAGAATGTCCATGCATCTTCGTGGAGCCCATGAAGTGGATGCAAACTGGTCAGTTTTCCAGCATGATGTTTTACCTCTTGTTTTTAGAGCATTGTCATGAAATCTCTGATGTTCTCATCTGCTCCATGTTTTATTTGCAGTGGAAGAAGGTTATGTTGCGAACAAGCTCTTTTGCATGGGATGCAAAGCTCGTCTGGGACAATTCAACTGGGCTGGTATGCAGTGCAGCTGTGGAGCCTGGGTGATTCCAGCATTCCAGCTGACCAAAAGCAAGATCGACAAATGTTCAATGTAACACCAGGCAATTAGCTGAAGTCTTAATCCCTTAGCAGTGATGTTACAACATAAATATGTAGCTAGGAAACAGTATCGTTTAGACATGTATAGGCACTCTGGCAGTTGGTTAAGTGGTTATCAGCTGTTTAATCTGCTGCTGATGTTGTCATCCTAAGCATCAGCACGTGGGTTTCACCAAGTTGCAACAGCTAAAAAAGCTGAAACTAGGAAGCATTAGGCGGGCCCTCAGTTTACTGATTTGTTTTGCCCTGCTACTTAGTTCTTTGGTAAATTCATATGATAAGGCAAATCTCTTGAGGTGATCAATTGTCCTGAGATGGGTATGATATGATAAATGTGATGAGTGGGTCTATTTCCTTGAGATGGATACTATAATTCTGATCTGCTGATAACTTGTTACGAGGTTGCCTTTCATAATGGTGCCCCGCTGTTGTAGTTACTCCAGCTCCAGGTGCTCGAAGCCAGCTATGGGATTGGAACGGAGCTTACTGTGTTGTTTGTTTTTGTTTTTTTATACTAGTATAAACTAAGTGTAATTGTTCGTCTTGCATTTTTTTTTCTTAAAAAAGAGCTAATACTTTGTACCTTTTTTTTCATCTACTAATAAAACCTGGAGCAAAGCTTCTGCCATCCTTTCGAAAACAATCATCGTGCTCTCGTCAACCTAACATTTACTTTACAAAAGAAATGAGATTTCATCGGCCAACGGAAACCCATCCTTTCTTAACCGTTGCTGAATTTCATCATGACGCATAGGAAGAAAGGATTTTATGGGAGGCGTTGCAGTAAGGAAGAAAAATTGTAGCGATGACATATTACACTAATTAATTAACAAACATATGTAACTCTAGACCTTTGACTGCAATTATATGCTATAGGAAGAAAATGACTGGTTTGATCTTCAATGTACTTTTATTTTTTAAGGCCATTTTATGTCAAATTGTTCTTTTGTACGGGCTATTGTTTTCCTTGATATATATTAGATACGAGACACTCTTTTGAGTGTCTTTCTCAACAAAAAAAAAAAAATCATCTAACCAAAAGTGATGGTCAATACATTTGGCTTACTGTGAAGATTGCAACTTTGCAAGTACTAGTGAGCTTGTTTGGATGCAAACGTGTCTTCCTATCCATGGAAGCATTATTCGAGAAAATTGCAATTTTAGCAGCTCAAACAATGCGCTTCGCAAAACTAGCATCCGAAACGTTGCTTTCGTAAAAATGGCAGCAAAAACATTTCCTTTTTGTTTTCTTTACCATTTTTCCATTTTTCCTCTTTTCTCTTTATTTCTCCTAAAATCTGCCACCTAAAAGGACGAAACTGCCCTTGTGCTAATTGACGTGAGATCCGCCGCCGCTTGGGCAGCGCTGGTACCTTCTCATGCACAAAGCGGTTTGTTTCTTTAACAGTTGTTTACTTGATCGAATCAAATCTTTGTCGAGGCAGTTCAGTCCAGGCTTGAGAGTGCTTCTTGAGGGGGCAAAAATTATCGAGTAGTTTCAAAATTTACAATGAATACTTACAGGGGTGCAAGCTAAGTACATACAAACTATACTGAAACGGTGGAAAAATGAATGTGGAATGGTTGTTTAAGTAATAAACTATTTTGTACGTAATTCGGTTGTTCTCGCAAAGCCAATCTCCGTACATCAATACGGGAAACCGCCGTAACCACCGTCACTCCGTTCACTGGCAGCACCGACATAGAACAGATCGGAGAAGTCGCCCATGCCGATGACGTCGTCCAGGCCCATATCCTCCAGGTACGTCGTCGGCGTGCGGCTGCTGATGACGGCCGGGCGCACCTCCGCCGCCACAGGGTACTGATAAGCGCCTTGCGGCCCAGCTCCGGCGGCAGCGGGCCTACTCCAGCCCCGGCGGCCGTCGACATGTCGGCACGGGAGAGGCCTGTGCGGCGCCGGCGGCAGAGGAGCGGACCTCCCGGTGAGGCGCTGCACGAGGTCCTTGAAGCCGGCGACGTCGGAGGTGACGAACTGCGTCTCGATGTAGGTCACCTTGACGACGCCGCCGCCGCGGCCGGTGACGTTCTTGTTGTCCATGCTACTAGATCTTCCGTCTTGGTTGAAACGAACTGGAGCAAGGCAGTTCTTGTTGTCCATGACTGGAGCTGTCGTGGCAGCGTAGCGTACTGCACGCACCGTGCTTTGCCTGCTGATCTTATCCGTGCGGTAGGAGGCTAGGAGCTATGCATTTGTCAACATGCCTTTTTGCTCTATTTATAGGATGGGGGTGAGTACAAGTGTACGTGCGTGAGGGAGACCTGGAGCGAGACGCCAAGACCTAGTCCGCCGGAAATGATTTCTGGTACTCACTCTGACTGTTCTGACTCTGGTAGCAAGCTGAGGCGTTTGACTGGTCGTCACTGAGGAGTGGTCGCCACTGACAGCGGGGGAAGACGGCGGGGCCAGGCCACGGTCAACTTTGGCGGGTGGGTGGTCAGACGCTTGTGCGGAACCTGTGGCTGTCCGTGTCTCGGGTCGCTCCGCTCGTTGCGCTTTTACGCGGCCCACATTCCTCGCTGCTGCCGCCGCGCGCCCGCACCCCTGCACTGCACGGCCGGAAACCGCACACGTACGTGACACGACCGGGCATACGGTGACAGTAGAGTTGATGCCTCCAGGCTACTACTATATGCACGCATGTTCCTCTTTCCCTTTCTGAAGCCAGGTAGAAGAACATGCAAGCATTCATCCTTGATTTGCACCGCATGTAGTGGCACACAAGAGGCTTCCGGTCGTGCCCAGTGTGTATATGCACCGCGATGCCATTTGACTGGCACTAAGGCAGTTGCGCGCATTGACTGTTCCTCTTCCACCTACTGGCTATTGGTATTGGATTAGCTAGTCAGAGCTGCTGGTGTACACTGTAGACTGCAGGAACTAAAAGAGCACCAAAAAGCAGGCGCACCGTAATTTTTGGACACAGTTATACCGCGACCGGTCAAGCACTTGGGGGAGGGCGCAATCTTCTTCCACCTCACGTTATCTTTGTCCCCGACTCGAAACTACTCTTCTTCTCTCTCCTCGCGGCGTGCTAGGGTTCGCCGGAGCTCCACGGCCACGGCGGCCGCCTTCTTCCTCTCCCCCTCCCGCCGTGGTGAGCTCCGGCGATGGCGCCCCTGCCCCGACCTGGCCCGGCCGCCTCCGCGCCGCTAGGACCTGAACGCCGCCCTCCCGCCATCCCCAGTGCGCCTAGCATCCCCTCGAACCCTTTCTAAGCCCGTCGGAGATATAGAAGAAGAGAGGGCGCTGAACTCTAACGCCTGGGAGCTCGCCAGAACCCTAGGCGCCTTCTTCCCCAACTCTGGCGCGGCGACGAATGCGGGCGCGGGTGCGGACGCGAACATGGGCGTGTGGGAGGGAGGGGGAGAGGTGGGCCGGCCCGCGTCGCGCCGTCCGCCGTCCGCGCGATGGGGCACGCGATAGAGTCTGCGTAATTTTTCGGTGGCACTGAAGTTCTCTGGTGGGTGACACTAGAGCTTTCGGTGGGCCTAGGACCGAGGCAATTCACAAAGTCGTGCATCGCATATTTCCTGTGTAGCACCAGAGTTATGCCCCGAAGATTGAGTATACAAAGAATAGTGCATATGCACGGTGGAGGCTTAGAGAACACATGAGCTCTCAGGTCCGTGTACCACAAGTATGGGTGCTATCAAGTGAAGAATTGATGCTCTGGGCTAAGCACCCGGTATTCTCCGTTGTGGCACCAGATAAACCACCATAGGAAAAAGGCAGCAACGGTCGACAAAGGCTAGTTGACATAACATGGTGATGCAAGCCCCGCAACAAGCAATGTGTATGCAGCCCAACAACAACAATTGTGTAACACCCGAGAATACATGGCATAAATATGGATTTTAATATGGATTAAGTAATTTATTTAGTGAAGGTTGACTGGCTTTAACGGGAGCTAAAATTTTGACTTTTTGATCCATCGCTCGGATGGATGAATGGAGACCACTAGTGCATAGAGCTCGTTGAATGCTTTCGGTTTGACTACTTATTCACATTTTCGGATGACTAAGTTATGTTAATTGCTAGTTTTTATAAAAAGAAAAAAAGGAAAAAAATGGCGTATGGAAATATACGTACTTGTCTTGGAGTCGCACCTGCCCTTTGGTCTCCTGGCCGCTGGTTCTTTGTCCTCCACGGGAAAAAGAGAGAGAGAACAGAAAAGAGGAAGAATGCACAAGGGAGAAGGGAGAACAAGAAAGAGCCTAGGGTTTCACCGCCGCCACCGTCAGTGCCGTCTGTGGTGCCCGTTCTTCCTCCCGCAAAACCGGTTAGGATCTATCTCGTATCTTGGCTATCCCATCGATCTCCTTCTCTTGCTGTCCGTGAGGGCTTTGCCATGTTTGGCATAGATTAGAACGACAAGACCTTCGTAGCGGCGAGGATCGTTGCGAGTTGGAGACGACGGGAAGGGAAGAGAAGGGGAGGAAGGATTAGTCGCCGGGAGTTTTTCGGTGTCGTGCTCACTGTGGTTTCCCTAGGTGAGAAGACAAATATTAATCCCTCCTTTTGATCAAGTTTTGTGGATTAAAGCGCTTGCTTGGATGGGGTTTAGTGGAGTAATCCTCGAAATCAATTTCGTCCATGTTCTGAAATTTCTGTCAGATTGAGCAGTCCCTGTTCATCGTTATGTTTGGGCATCTTAGAGGCCTTAACAATTTTTGGGCCTGCAGATAAAGTTGCAGAGGACTTCAATATATTTCTCTGGACGCTAAGAACACCGCATAGCCCCTATATTCTGGGAGATATCGGTTTTACAAATAGACTGCTTTTGGATGGCGAAAATCTGGACTGTTTTAGATCTAAGCCGTTTCTGACCACTTAAATAAAATAATTAGATCTTTTGATATGAACAAAAGTTGTAGGATTTTTGTTAAGCTTTCCATATTGGTAAAGTTTATAATTTTTGAATTATTATATCTCCAGTTATGAATTTTTGAATTTTTATGCTCTGTTTTGGACGTCAGAAATATTCAGTTATAAAAGGGCGTACCCAGTGCAGAGAACTCTGGGACGCCCTTCAGAAATATTCAGTTATGTTCCATGGTTAATTACACCATCTTGGAGACCTCTTATGCGAAACCTTACAATACAAAAGTTGTATATAACGTTGTTTTACAGAATCTCGTAAACTTTGGGAATTGTTGGATATGTGGTCTAAAGTCTACGAAAAAGAGAAGAGTTAGTGCTGATGTCTTTGATCGGTAGCGCAAACGATAGATGCTTAAATGTCGGGTTTGGGGCGCTCTAGTGCGTATTTGTTGTACTTGCTTGTATGTTTGTGCTTGTACCGAGTATTGCTTGTGATCAGTTGGTAGCACTTCGGAACGCCTCTAGTGCTTTTGATCTCCTTCGGTAAAGAGGCAAGTGAATGTAGCTGTGGTTTGCTACCGTTTTGTCTTGTTATTTTCATCACCTACATATTTATGTCTATAATAATGTCATACCACTAATAACCAAAACTTGTGATCTTGGTTTATTCAACATTATTTAATTGTGGTCTTATTTATTTATTCATGGTGATGTTATTATTCTATATTGCTATATGTGGTTAGCCCATAACCTTGAAGATGAAGTTGAAGTATCATTGGTGGTGTATGTTAATTTTATTGTAGCATGCCAAGTGCTTGCATCATTCATTTGCATTGAAAGTTATGCCATTGACCTATGGTCACGATCGTACCGGTACAACATCATGGGATACAGCTCCACACCTTGTTGGGTGTGCAGGCAGGAGACATTTCGCATTGCATTCATATGCATCCAGGAAGTATATTGAAGTGATCCATCCATGTTATTATGAAGCTCTAACTTTTGGCTATGTTCCAAATTGGAAGTATCTCATGTTATTTTGATATCATGTCAAGGGGAAACTCCATGTTAAATAGATAGTCAAAACAAGTTTGCTTGCTGAGATGTTTCATCTCACCCTTGCTTTACTCAATCCAGGTACATGATGCTTGCTTGGAAGGTGTCGATGTTTCACCACCGATAGCCTGCCACGGGGGTACCCGGGGCAGTTTGTTCGGGCTTCAGCGTATGCAGAACTCGACGGTTAACGCAAGAGACAGTCGATTTATCCTAGTTTGGACCCTCGACCGTGATCGAGTAATAGCCCTACGTCCAGTTGGCGTTAGCCTTTGCGTTGGATTGATTGTAAAGTGTTCTCTTTTCTGCTATCCCGATCTAAGAAGCCCTGCCCTCCTTTATATAGTCAGGAGGCCAGAGTCCTAGTCGGTTTACAATGTAGAGTCCTAGTAGGATTACAGGGTAATATTACTACTAGGATTACATGGGAGGCATCCTAATCAAACTAGATCTCCTCTCTTCTTTGCGGGGTATCCCGTGGGTCTCACATTGACAAGCCCCCGAGCACTTCATGGTTGAACTCTAGAAACCTTATCTTGTTCCTCCAGGTCTTGCCGAGTAGGAACAAGCGTCGTCCGAGTGCTTTCTGAAGTAAAACCATGTAGCGCTTCTTGAGATCTTCGAGTGGTGTGTGCTTTTTTGAAGAAAAAGCACACCTAGCTGGGTGTAGCCCCCGAGCCTCTTGCTATTTGGAACTAGGAGTTGGAGGGTCTTGTCTTGAAATTGCTCTGATTCTTCATCGAAGGGCTCCCGAGCATATACCTAGGTTCTTTATCAAAAAGAACTCGGATATAGCTCTGTCCGGGTTCTTTTTGTCGTGAGGCCTTGAAGTGGTCTATCTTGAAGAAGTCTTCTTGGTGACGTGCGCTTTTTTGAAGAAAAAAGTGCACTCACTGAGTGTAGCCCCCGAGCCTCTTGCTATTTGGAACAAAAAGTTGGAGGGTCTTGAATCTTATGTTGTTTGAAAACTCCTGTCTTGAAAAAGTCTTTTGAGTGATGTGCGCTTTTTTGAAGAAAAAGTGCACTCACTGAGTGCAGCCCCCGAGCCTCTTGCTATTTGGAACAAAAAGTTGGAGGGTCTTGAATCTGAGCTGTTCAAAGAACTAAAAAACCTCTTCTGAGGATATGTAGGATCTTATAGACATTCTCAAGGGTGTATCCAAGTAACCCGCGAACTACAGTAGGCTATCCATATACCATTACAAGTCAACACAGTTGCG